TAGAAAAGAGGAAGCTGGAGCTGCCCCTGAAGTCTGCTCACTTCCGAATGTGCGGGTACACACAGTCTGCAGGCCGCGAGTCTAGCCCGTCAACGAGCTACTTCATTTCTCTGACTAGAGCTTTCTCATTTTTCCAGTGTAAACAATATATTATCTACTTACATTAACAGGCTCTGCGAGCCCTGACCGGTTTGGCTCAGCGGTTAGAGCGTCGGCCCGTGGTCCAGAGAGACCCGAGTTCGGTTTCCACTAAGGGCATGTACCTTGGTTACAGTTTGTCCCCGGCCCTGGTTGGGTCGTGTGGGTGGCAGCCACTCAATGTGTCCCTTTCACTTCGATGTTTCTCTCTCTCTCCCTCCCACTCTATCTGAACCAAATATCTCAGAATGTCCTCGGGTGAGGATAAAATAAAAAGCTCTATGAGAAAGAAATGAGATAATTTATGTAAAACTAGTATTTCTAATATTTCAAAGCATAGCAGTATATTTTCTTGGCTTCTGTATGTATTACAGATCTTAAGTCTTCCACACAAAGCCAGTCATGTCATTAAATGATACTGAAATTAACTGCAGTAGAGCAGTAGAGTTCATGAAGCTGGTGGCTGGACAGATGCTACATGTCACAGAACTTTTTTTCTTTTCAGTTCCTATAAAGTTAAGGAAGAACCTGGAAATACCAAGTGTTCTTGATTCCATTTCTTATGCTGCCTGTTCGAGGCAAATGACTTCCCTAAGGATGTGTGGATGCCAGCAGCCTCCTCATGAGCAGCTCAGAGGACAGCATTCACAGTATATATAGCCACGTAAGGAAGGATAGGCACATTAATTTCAATGATTTTTTCTATTTTTGGGGGGTGACATTTGTGAAGAATAACATCCTAGCTTATGTCTTAAACTGCTTTTAAATATAAAATAGAAGCACATTCTATATATACTTTCTCCTTTCCAGCAAAACATACTATTCCATCCTTATTCTTTTATTTTGAAGCCAAAAATTATTATATGAATGAGGTCCATTACTCTTTTGGGGGAGTACCAAATTACTTTATTTGACGGAATGGAACAAATAAAAAGATGTCAGTGGATGATTTGGTACAAGTTATAGAAAAGGTAAAGGTAACTCCAATGTGCACGTACTATTTTGGTGACCAGGGAAGTCACCCCCGTGGCTATGGGAAGCCAGCCTAAGGCTTAGCTCTGGTCACTGTCTCGCAGGGTGTGCTTGTCAAAGAGATACTCTGCCAGGCCAGTTTCGGGGTTCCCCAATCTGTGCAAGTTGGTTACCTGGTCACCCAGATCTTTGATGGATTTCACCTGCTCATTCAGGTAGTGAGTTTCAAGGAAGTCACACAAGTGAGGGTCATTTTTGTCAGTGGCCAGTTTGTGCAAATCCAGTAGTGACTGATCACACTTTTTCCCACGTGTAACGCACACTCCATCGCGTGCAGCCCACTCTCCCAGGCGGCCGGTCTGCTTTCTGATAACCTGGAGGGAGATCTGGCCTCCCCGTTGGTTCTGCAGCTTCAGCGGTTTCTCAGCATGTTCCCTCCTCACGAGACTGGTGAAGAAAATATTTGGCCAAGTTCTTCAAAGCCACATCATCGTGGTCAAAGTAGGAAGACAGGGACAGGTGGACGTAGCAAGTGTAGAGCTCCAGGTTGATCCGGGGTTGATGGCGGGGCCTGAGTCCTGGCGGTAGTTCTGGCGCCTGCCAGGTGGCGAGGTGGCCGCGGTGGCCGTCAGGTGGGCAGCGAAGGACAGGCGGCTGCGCGGCGCTGGAGCGGGGCCTTGGGGACGTCCGAGGCGCTGTGAGGAGGTGGCCGAAGGCTGGATCGGGTGGCGGGGGGATGGGTCGAGTGCCGGCTCCGTCCAAGCACTGGTGAAGCAGGCACCTCGGGACTCTCCGTGAAGTCTGTGGCCTGGTCCAGTACTCTCTGAGGCCAAAGCTTGCCCACTTCATCTTCCCTGACCACCTAATACTCTGTTTTCCTTAAGTCTTAGAGCATCGCTGTCACTTTAAGACACCTGAACTGTCATTTAGCATCTATGCAATTAGAATTGTACATTGTCTCCTTTCGAACAGCCCTTTACAACAGCAACAAACAAGTGTTTATTTAGTGAAGACGTTTAAATATACATCTAAATATACGTTTATACATGTTCTTTTGTCCCCTTCCCCCTCTTTCTTTATGTTTCCCATGGCTTTATGGTTTACAATATGAGATTTAGTACACATTCCTTCTTTTCCTAAAATAAGAATAAGTCCAATCTGTGCTCTTTGTACCAAATAAATGTTGAGTAATGATGAAATTAATTTTGAATTTCAGATAAACAAGTATGCTTAATATAAGTATGCTTTCTTCAAATATTGTATTCTTATGCTAAAAAATGAATTAATGTTTACCTGAAATTAATATTTAATTGGGTGTCCTATGTTTTTAATGGCTAAGTCTGCGACCTATTAATAGTCTGACATTTCCTGGTTCATGGGATATATATCTTTTTACTTTCAATTTTTTTATGTGCCTGGCTCAGATGGCTTTTATCCTCCTTCACTGATTTTCTTTTAAGATTTTCATTGTTGCTTATTAATCTTTGCCCATTTGGCTCATTCTGGAAAAACACTTGAAAAGATGGGTATAGTTTTCTCATCTGGAGACCTGAACTTAGCTTATTATTTTTATTTTACTCACTATTCAATTTAGCCCTTAGATGGTATGACTATACATTTCTTTCCTCAATAATTATTTCTTTAAATCATCAATAATGTTCTATATTGATACTTGGAATTTAGACCTCTATCAATTTTAATCATCCTTGGTAAATTATACTTTTGATAGTATTGTACTTTCCCTTCTATTAATATGTTCTGTGCTAAATTTCTGTGTATCGTTCTGTGTTTGAGAATAAATGCAGCTACTGTTCTCTAATTATATATCTGCTATCTTGTCTTGGAAGTTGTCAAAATCATAGAACAGTGAAATTAATATTTGAACTTTACACTTGGATACTTCTTTTTTGTAAATTATATTTTATTTTTAAATGCCAAAGGAGCCTCTCCTTGAGCTATGAAAATGTACACCTTAGAATGTTGTTTCAAATGCCACCCCCGCCACAATCACAAAATTAAAGTTTTATCTAAAATTGTCACTTTACTTCAAAGACCTATCTCTAAGAATTTTTTTACTCACAGAAATAAATATCTTACAAAATATCCAAAGAGCATACTCCTTGCCAAGCCAGTGTGGTGCAGTGGATTGAGCATCGTCCCGTAGACTGAGAGGTCCTGCTTTGATTTCCCATCAGGGCACATCCTTGCGTTATGAGTTCAATCCCCGGTAGGATCGAGCCAATCAATGTTTCTCTCTCACATTGATGTTTCTATCTCTCTCCCTGCCTCTCTCTCTCTAAAAAAAAAAAAAAAATCAATTAAAAAAAACTTCTTAAAGAAATAGTTTATTGTAATAGTTGCCCCCATATAATAGTATACACCCTACCAGACCCTTTTTTTTGGGGGGGGGGGGGTAAAACAAAACAAAAAACATCAAGAAGCCAGTAAGAAGTAAAAATAATGCCAGTAGATTTTTTAGCTCATAAATGAAAATTTGTAATCTAAGAAATCTACTGAAGCAGATCCTTACAAATGCACCCTTACAACCATAATATAGTTGAAACCATATTTACAGCCTTTGAAAAAAAATCTCTCCTTTTGTGGTTCGAGATCAAAGTCTGCATTGCTATTCTATGTGAAGGAGTTGTCTGCAGATTTTAGCATAATTCCTTAACAACCACTTATATTCAAAGTACTTAAATGTTAGCTGTCATTTTCTAGTGGTAGTTTCTTCTTTGTTTATTGAATCAATATATTTATATTGTTCTTTACAATAAGCAGAATCAACTTCATTTTGTAGGTTTAAAATTTGTATTTTTCAATTGCATTGTATTATTAAGCTCGTGTTGAGGCCATTGATGGAGCAGGCATAATATTCTTAACCAAGATATTTGGGGGAGGAGGATATCAGTGGGGGGAAAAGGAGAAACATCTGTAACAAAACTAAATTAATTAATTAATTTGAAAAAAAAATAAAGTATACTTAAGTATGAAAAAAAATGTATTCTTAATCAAGATATTTGAAGAAGATTAAACCAGAAGAAAATAAAACTTATTCTGAAAGAAATGATATAAACGTTTATGAGAAATTACAAAAGTAAAAAAAGACGTTTTGTCTTCATCATCTTCTTTAGAAACTGTGTTTTGCATTTAATAGTTGAAAAGAAAAGTCATTCTGTTTTGCTCACTTAAATTATGGAAAAGCTCTGGGAACCTGGAAAATCAAATGGGGTCAATAAGTAAGTTTCAGACGCCTGACGAAAATGTGAGAGTGCGTGGCCCCTCAGATAACTATGATCCCATATGAAGTCAGCTCCAATGAAAGGAATCAAACAGTTCGCGGCCTTAGAGCGTTACTTCCAGCGAGGTCAAAGGAAGGTGCCAGTTCTCTGCCGTTCATGATCATTGTCGTCAAAGGGGGGAGCTGCTGGCTGTGGCGGGAGGAATACTAACTGGGCAGTAAGACCTATGCCTGTACATATTGAGTAACACCCTACCCTGGAGCTACTCTTCACACTTTCTCTCGTGCTCTGCTGTTAGTAGAAAGACAGAACTGCATGTTGTGACCTAGTCTTCCCTCAGTGCACTTACCTGGGGAAAAAGGGGGGAAAGGAGATGAGTCTTTGTTCTTTGGTAAAACGGTAAAAATTCTAACTCAGTCTGAAGTTTTATAAATAAGATCATCTTGAAAGTGGTCAACATAGCAACATGAGCTTTGTCCTCTGGCCCTGCCCTAACCTTGATCTCTTTTTCCAATTTTTCTCTTATTCTCTGTGTTTCTGAATTCAGTCGTCCCATTTTAGAAGGCATATTTGATGCATAAAAATCAAAATGAAAACTCCTGTCTCTGTCCACTTGCTTATATTGACATGGGATTCGTGTACCCCCAGGCACTGAAGGAGCAGTCTTTGGGCACTCTGTGGAGACACCTCACATAAGAGCTGAACCTTCCCAAGACCTCAGGTAAGTCTTGGCTCTTACACCTGCATCATTGTTTTCATCGCTGTTGATCGTTCTTGATACATAAAGAGCTGAAACAGAAAATGTGCCATGTACCTGTATGAAGAAGTGACATTGTCTATTCCATGATAAATAGTCAAGTATTTCATGAAGGACAAGAAGATGTATTTTATTTTAAATATAACTTTCTGTATATATTTTTTCCAAATAAACATGCAATGAATGTAAAAATAAATGTATCCGGTAGGAGTGTAGAAAAAGAAAGGAAAAGAAGTCTTAGAGAGGTTGGGAGGGGGACTGATGAAAATAGGGATTCCAGAAAATCTGTCGTGGACAGGGAAATAGATGGTGCACAGGGTTAGAGGTCGGGGTGGCAGAGGTGAGGAGGAAGCTAACGGTCGGGGAGTGTTATGTGGAGGGAAATAGCAGAAACAAATACAAGTATGACCAGGAAAAGGCGGAACCCGAGGGCCCTGTGATGGACTCCTCGGTCCGATGTTTCCCATGGAAGGTGCAGCTTCCCGACCCTGTGCTATTTAAGAGGCACAGTTACACGTAAAAGCTCTCGCCTCCCAGAAGAGTGAGAGGTGACAATGTTATAGGAAGTTCTCCCTGGGATAATCATGGCAGCTGTTGATAAAAGTTGAAATATTAAAATAAAGTAACTGATCTATGGATGGACTTAATTCAATAAATAAGTGAAACTTTAGAAATAAAATATATTTTATATAACTTATTGTGGTGATCATTATACAATACATACATATATCATATCATGTTATACACCTTATACTAATACAATTACTATATGTCAATTTAAAAGATATTCTATGTAATTAATTTTGGATAGGTAAATTACATTCTAAAATGCATTTGCTATGGTAATTAAAAAATAAAAACAAAATGAGCCCTGGCTGGTTTGGCTCAGCTGTTAGAGCGTCGGCCTGTGGACTGCAGGGTTGTGGGTTCGATTCCGGTCAAGGGCACAAACCTGGATTGCAGGTTTGATCCCAGCCCTGGTTGGGATCGTGTGGGAAGCAACCAATTAATGCATCTCTCTCACATCAATGTTTTTCTCTCTCTCTCTTCCTCCCTTCCACTCTATCTAAAAATTCAATGGGAAAATATCCTTGGGTGAGGATTAACAACAAAAACAAAAAAGAAATACTGCCATTTGCAGCAACATGGATGGACATTGAGAATACCATGCTAAGTGAAATAAGTCAGTCAGAAAAAGCTAAGAACCATATGATTTCATTCATATGTGGGATATAAAACTGAAACTCACAGACACAGACAACAGTATGGGGGGAAACACAGACAACAGTACCAAGGGAAGGGTAGTAAAGGGAAAAGGGGGCCAAATATATGGTGACAGAAGATGATTTGACTTTGGGGGATGGGCACACAGTGCATTGTACTTGAAACCTAGATGATCCTATTAACCAATGTCACCCCAATAAAATTAATTTTTAAAAGAGAACAATATTGATTTTTAAAATTAAATCAAATATTAAAATCATATTTAAAGCTGAATCAAAGTATCAACCTGAGAGAGTCTTTGGAAAAACAAAATAAAAGTAGCAAGAAAAAAATAAAGCATTGTATTTAATAAATACCAGGTTCAGCCCTTCCCGTTTTGATGAGTGGGAAATACTGCTCAAATGAAATAGATAAGTTAAAAAATTGTAACACCAAAAGGAGACACACTATTAAAAATGTAAAATTTGCCAACCTTTAAGTTCTGTGATAAAATTTCCTAAAGAACTCAGTTTCTCACTAGTAGAGTAACCCAGATTCAAAAAAGTGATTAACAATAAAGGAAGTGCCCCTGTGATCAAGGTATTTGTAAGATAACCGTAACAACTATTTACTCTAGGGAAAACCCCAAGGATTTAGAAGGGTTGAATAATACGTGTAAAAAGTGTCTCATAGTGTGCTGTAGTCTTGATTTATGACTCTTTACTCAGGAATTTAACATTCTTGTGTAATTATTAATTTTATCTGTTCACATGTTCCTTGAGAATAGGATCTCCATCTTCCTTGTTTATCTTTAGGGTGTAGCATCCAGCCTGTGTCTTACATATAATAGTGTCTGATAAGTATAGTGTCTGGTAAGTATCTGTTAACTCAAATTACTGAAATTTAGCCAAACAGTGACAAGGACACTACTAAATGCATGTATACGAGCAATGTGGCAGCATTTCTTGTCGCATTGTAAGGCACACATGGCAAACACTGGTTCCAGTTGATTTTGAGCTGTTTTTATTTATTTTTTAATCCTCACCTGAGGATATTTTTCCATTTTATCTTCATGGAGTATGAGGGACCGAGAGAGAGAGAAACATCGATGTGAGAGAGACACATCGACTGGTTGCCTCCCGCACGACCCCGACCAGGGCCAAGGACCGAACTGCAACCAAGGCACTGCCCTTGACCAGAACCGGACCCGAGACTCTTTAGTCCACGGGCCGACGCTCTAACCGCTGAGCCAAACCGGCCAGGGCTAAACTGTGTTTTAATACAAATATCAGAGTGTAATGATTCATTCAATAAAAATTTTAAATTACTACATTCTAAAGGAAACATATTTTACTTCTACCATTGTAGTAATTACATAATAATTGTATGATGTTTGTGCTGGGAAAAGTATATTGCCAAGAGCTATTTTAATTACTTTGCTGACATGTCTCAAAATTCAAAAAGGTGAATGTGGATGAAATTATAGTTAGCATATAGTGTTTCTAGTTGTTAATTTTCTAATTATTCGTTGATTATTTCAACAGTGAGCTAAGCTAGGCTTACCTGCCGGTGCTAAACACAGGTTGGCAACCCCCGAGGTGAGCGGTACTGATCTAAGTTTCAAAGCTGGAACAGGAGCAAAGCACGGAAATGATGGTTATTCGTTTCTTTATTTGGTACTGAAGACTGAAATCAGACTGTCTGAGATCTTGACAAGTTTTGCCGACAGTTTTCCTTTCAGGGCAATAAGAAGTCCTCCTGGTCGACACCTAATTGTAATCAACAAGGTGGGATGGGGGATGGTTGGTCAAGTAAATAAATCATAATTTGGGGAGTAAGTAGCCATATTGCCTTTGATTTTCTTTTTGTCAAAAATAAAAGGTTTTAGCCCTGGCTGGTGTGGCTCAGTTGATTGGGTGTCGACCCTTCCACCAAAGGTTATTAGTTCAGTTCTGGGTCAGGGCACATGCCCTGTTTGTGAGCTTGATTCTCTCCAGTAGGGGGCGTGCAGGAGGCAGCTGATTGATGTGTTCTCATATGGATGTTTCTCTCTCTTCCACTCTCTTTAAAAATATTAAAAAATAAAATAAAAGGCTTTAGAAAGAAATATTCCAAAAAGTTTATTCTAGACTATAGGTAATATTTAGGTATGGAAATACAGTAGACTTATATAATGTATTTATTCAACAGATGTTTGGTGAGTACTTAATGTGTGTCAAGTTCTGTGCTAAGTTTCCATGTTCACTTTAAACCTACACATGTAGATTTTCTTTTATTTTTATTTATATAAGGTGATATTGATTTTCAGTAGGGAGCTATGTGTTTTAAAAGGCTAACAGATATATGTTGAATGATCAGTAAGGAGATAATGGCATATTTGTCTGGAATAGCTCATGTATGAATGTGCTTCCTTTTATATTTCTTAAGTTAATGTATAAGTAAATTATTACAGTTCAGTCGGGTTTCTGCATTCTGTGGTGAGAAGTGATGAAATCCATTATATAATGCCCATTGCCCAAACATTGTTTCAATCCAAGTTCCATGAACTGTTCCAAGAATCTTGATTTCAAGTCAATAAATGAGTTAATATTTAATGATGTAATTGGCATCTTTTCATCATTTCTATTCTTGTATGAATATAATTTAAAACTGAAAAGTTGAGGTTTCAGTCTCTAAATTACTCTCTGGAAACACATTGCTGTAATTTTACATCATTTCTGAGTTCAAGGAAAAGTCACCATTTATTAAGTAGTTAAGGATTTTTCCCTGAGACATTTTGTCAATAAAGAGGTAAAATACTTTGCTGGTATTTTTCTACCTATGAGAGAAAATTAATAATAAAGTAGTATTTTTCTCCTCCCCTCCTGTCCCCTCTCTTCCCTCATTCTTTTCCTCTTCCCTTCCTTTCTTCTTTCCTTTTATTTTTTCATTCTATGTAGGTATGTATATATTTATCTAGAGTTAGTAACAAATGAGCATTTTGAGAACCGTGTTTTAGCTTATAAACATGGGAACACAGAAAGGCAGTTGATCTAGAGATTTGGTTGATCTAATTTGTAGAAAGAGACTGTAATGGCATGTTCTAATAAGCAGAAAACAATAAAAATGGAGGGAAAAAAACAATGTAATTTGCATCTGAAGAAAGCTCATTATAGTCTGAAATAAGACAGTAATATTTCTTACATATTCAAGTCACAGTTTGCATTGATTTTTTTTTTCTTAAAACACTTTTTGTTCAATTCTCCATTTATACCATCATTAAAACCTCAAATAATTCATGAATGCCTACTATTTCTCTGGCACTTTGTTAAATATTTAGCAAGAACAAGATACACAATGCTCATCTTCTACTTAAGTTTCTATTTAGTAATTGCATCTTGTGACTTACTTCAAAAGAATTCTGAATTCTTTTCTCAGAATGTTTAGAATTCTGCTAAGGCCTCTCATTTTCAAATTTGGAATTATGCAACACCTTCAGAACAAAATATCGTTGCGTCTTTGCTATGTAAGCACCATAAAAACAGAGTCACCAGGAGGAAATCACTAGCAGGGTGCCTCCAGTTCAACAGTAATCTTTCTCTACTATATAATCTCTGGGTACTCACTATGAAAAGTAGTGGAATTCACTACTGTGAATTTAATGCTTTCAAAATGAATACTTTCATGTTTTATAGTTTTATACTTTGAATAAATAAAATGGGAAATTGTTATTAATTTATTCTAATTTTCTGTTGAATACTAGAGTCTGTGATTTCTTTATT